TTTTTTGTTAGAAAGAGCTAAGTGTCTAGTGCAAAAATATATAAAAGAATTTGATTTGTAATGCTTTTCAAAGGCCACAATAGTTTTAGAACAGAAGGCGTTGGAAAACTCTTCCGCAACTTTTTTGAACTTAGAAAAAAATTCCTATAATTAGACAGGTTATCTTTTTATTCGTGTAATCCGGATTTTATAATATAAGGATAGAGCCGTATTGCTTTACAAAAAAAGAAATTTTCTACATGTTTTATAACGGTTGAAATGAACGCTTTTATGATATCGTCTGTGTCATCGATTTTTCATCATTGTTGGTAGCAATCGAAAAAATAAACTTTATTTCGCAGGAGAGATTGCTAGGAGCTATATATTTTATAAAAGAAAGTTTATTGAGTCCTCTACCAAATGATATTATTTGGAATAGAACGCAACTTCTCTATGAGATATTCAGAAAAAAACTTATTTTCACGCTGCAAAACCAAATTCGAACAATTAATTTGTTTTTATCAACGTGTCTTTTGTTCATTCTCTTGTATGTTATACCAATTATTTTAATACCAAATGAAAACCTCCATTGTAATGAACAACTTCATATATATGGTGCTCGAAAGTGTCGAAAGTGGCTAATGAAAAAGGCTCAAACAAATATTTTTAGATTAAAAAAATGTGACGGAAGTTGCGGAAGAGTTTTTCGGAGCATTGTGTTCTAAAACTATTGTGGCCTTTGAAAAGCATTACAAATCAAATTCTTTTATATATTTTTGCACTAGACACTTTGTTCTTTCTAACGAAAAAAAAATCAAGTCTGTACGACATTGCGTTGCAGAGTTATATCAAAAACAAAATTAATGCAAAACTTTTGCCCCACCCGTTACAATATCATTTTGTATATTTATCTTAGACAGTGAAATTTTACTATTTTGTTTTTTATTTCGATTCGATTGAAAAAATATATTTTGAATTTTTTTCGTACATAATTAAAACTACAAGCAGTTTTATCAAAAGATTCGCTCCTGACTAAAACTATCGATTTAATTAAAAAAAAAACTTTTCAATCACTAAATTTAAATTAACATTCTAATTTAAAGATTTTCAATTTTCTTTTCTTGATAAGATCAAAAAATAACTCATTGCTGCAGTTCGAATCTCAATACAACTTTTATACAAATGCTGAAGAGATTTAAAAATATTTTTTCCAAGATTTTTCAAGACTCGTTCTATCTGTCTATGAAAAGAACCAAATCAAAATCAAGATAAAAATACTAGTAGATCATTCAGTTCTTAGAATTTTGTTTTAGTTCGAACAAAAACAAAATACGATCTTGAAAAATGCTTCTTTTTATTGATGTTGAGATTTTGCTCAACATCAATATTAAAATTTCGTTGGGATCTACATACTTTTAAACTTTGAATGGATCGTGACCTCAACCTAGCTAAGAACGTGCGGGAACTGTTTCTTTCATTCTTGCTAGCTTTCTGACAGAATTCTGAAAATTAAATTGTGAATAGTCTTTAAATACAAATCTGGAAAGATCTTAGCTGGCTCTTTGTATTTTCTTATTAAGAATCCGATCGTACTTGTATTTTTTCTCCAGGGTTCGAAATGTCTGTTCTTGAGTAATTCTGTGCAGGATCCTGATCGAATTTGGAAGGGTTATTCAGGTGAGGATTCTCACTGATCTTCTTTTATTCCTGATAAGATCCTTCTCTGATATAGCATAACTCTTGGTAGGATCCTTGTACCAGGATCTGGAACAGCTCTTGAGCCAAAACTAAAGAAATCTTCACAAAATCCTATGTATCATTCTTGCCAGGATCCTGAATAGGATCATGAGTGGATCCTAATAGGATCTTGCAATATCAATTCAGAAAAAAATCTGAACGAGAACCTGAGCAAATTTGGAATAGAATCCTGAATGAAAGCTGATCGGATCCTTGAGACTTATAATTCTGAAAGATCTTTCAAGCTTGTATCAAGAATGAACATGGTTGTAGAGACTGAGCAGTATTCTATAAGAACGTTACTAAATCCTTATATTTTCTTATCCAGATCCTGATCAAAATTGACATTGTCTTGCAAGGTATAGAAATGCATATTCTTGAAAAGTTCAGAACAAGATCCTGATTGAAGCTTTTCAGGATTAGTCCATTTCATATTTTGATTGATCCTGTGATTTTCTTGTCAAGATTCTCGTCTACTGTGTGTATCATTCCTGACAGGATTCTGGTATGAAGACTTGGCCTAGATCCTGATGAGGACCTGAAAAAAGCTTCGCAGAATTCTCTTTTATAACTCTGAGAGGATCCTTGACAAGATCCAGAATGAATCCTAGTAGAATCCTGTAATCTCAACTCAGAAAATGTCTGATCAGGAACGTGAACGGCTCATCCTCAAAAGAGATACTTTTTCTCCTAAATCTTTCTATTATATTTTCTGTGCAGCAATTTTATCCTTTCATATAACTATTTAATCATTCTATAGCTATTTAAATACTGAACAAGTGTTTTACGTTAGTCAATAGCTACTCAATTTTTCTATGACTATTTAAACTTTTCTTTAGCTATTTATTCTTTTAATATAGCTATTTAATTCTTGTACAACTATTTAATCTTAGAATCAATCTCTTACGTTCATCTGTAGCTATTTAATTTTTCCATGACTATTTAAACTTTTCCTCAGCTATTTATTCGTTTTATATAACTACTTATTTCTTCTAGTGCTATTTAATCTTAGAATCAATCTCTTAACTTCATTTGTAGTTATTTAATTTTTCCATGACTATTTAAACTTTTCTTTAGCCATTTATTCTTTTGATACAACTATTTAATTCTTCTATAGCTATTTAATTATCGAGCAGCTGTTTTATATTACTATGCAGCTATTTAATATTTCTATGACTGTTTAAAATTCTCTTCAGCTATTTAATTTTTTAGTGGTGCTATGTATTGATTGTATAGCTATTTAATCTGTGAATAGCCGGTGTATATTTGTATACACGTACTGAATTTTTTTCTCTATTTAAAATGATGTTCTAATCGTTAATGTTTGAGTATGTGTGTGGTGTCAACGTCTGTTTGTTCAAGTTTGTATTAGGTATTTGAAGCTTTTGTCCTTATGTTTAATTTTGAAATGATAGTGTTGAAGTTTTGGATTCAGTATGTTTGCATCTGTTTTCTTCGTTGTTAGTTTGACAGATTTAACGCTATAAATACGTGACTGATACGCTGGTATTTTCTTTTGTTGTATTGATATAAGTTTTCAATAGCATGCTGTGGTTGACAGCATTGCGTGAGGAATTTCGGTGTGACCGAAGTACAGTATAGTATTTTACAGACAATTTTTATCATCCTGCTATTAAATGATTTTCGCGTAATATTTTCCTGTTTAACAGGTGAATGTAGTGATCATATAAGAGATTATGAGACTTTTCATTCGTATGTGTTTAGAAAAAGATGCGTCAATTGTGGATCCTAATGTCTTTTACTTATTTTAGTATTGAGAAAAGTTTGATGAAAAAAAAATTATATGACTACTATCTTTTTTAAATGTATTTAAATCATCTATTAGCTCATATTTTTCTATCATGTCATTGAGCAGCGTTTAATGAAAAAATATTATACGACTTTACTAGTATTTTTAAATATATTTTAACGATATAGTTTGCTATCATTTTTAAATAATTTTTAACTATATAGTTATTTGTATTTGTTTATCATATCATTGAGCAGGATGTGATGAAAAAAATGAAAAAATATATGATTTCACTAACGCTTTTTAAATATATTTGAACTATATAGTTATTTGTATATTTAGTTTATTAGATGATTGAGCAGAGTTTGATGGAAAGAAAAATTATATGACTACTATCTTTTTTAAATGTATTTAAATCATCTATTTGCTTATATTTTTCTATCATGTCATTGAGCAGCGTTTAATAAAAAAACATTCTACGACTTTACTAGCATTTTTAAATCTCTTTAAACTATATAGTTACTTGTATGTTCCTTTATCAGATCATTAGCAGAGTTTGATGAAAATGAAAAAACTATATAATTTTACTGTGATTTGGAAATACATTTAAATTATGTAGTGTGTATATCTTTTAATTATATAATTGAACAGGGTTGCCAAAAAAATGGAATATTTCGATTATGAAACTAGAGCCAAAAAAGAGTTTTACAAAGAATCAAACTGTTGTGTGTACCATAATCGTGATCTGTGTCAAAGTGGATGTATTTTACACAGGCAACTCTTTTTTAAAAATTCATAGTAAAAAAATAGCTATAGTAATTTCAATAATCGTGTGAAATTTTAAATAGTCATAGGAAACTCTAGGTAGCAGTGGTGGTTTAAATAGTCGAAACACTTTAAATAGCTATGATTTTTTTAAATAGTTGTACCCCTTTTAAATAGCTGTATGTTTAATTAAAAAGTATCTCTTTTGAGAATATCTATGATTTTTTTAAATAGCTGTAGGTTTTTTACATAGCTATATATTTAATTAAAAAGTATCTCTTTTGAGAAGGTACGTCCACGACACCCCACAGCAACCTAATATTCACACTCACACCGCCGATCATTGAAATTTATTTCATCATTTCCCCACACCCACATCCTTACATTATACAGCCTAACTGGCAAGTCCTCAGATCAATCCAGCAGGGTTCAAAGTGAATGTAAGACTTGTTCTTCTGTATGCACCAAAATTCAGATCTATACTGACACGCACGCTCACATTCTCATTAAGAATATAGTTCATATTCAAATTAGCCGTCGCCCTCTGACAAGTATTTGATTATTGTAATGTTTTTCACAAAATATCAATGTCGTTTTGTGTGCTTAATTCTTTTTTTTTCTTCATGAAGTTTGACGAAAGAATTAATGCTTACTCTATTGAAACAGTTGACAACCAGCAAATGTTTTTTTTTGTGATATGAGAAGAAAAATACAATAGTATATTTTTTAAAATATATACAATAAAAAACATGAGCTTGTAATATGAAACATGCCAACAAAAAAATTACTTTATTTTACTGTTTACTTCCCATCATTCAAGATTGACTGTATGTCATCACAAAAAAGTATCAATAAAATGGCATTATTTGCTGACGTGATAGCTTTTTTTTATATTATTTCAAAACAATACATAGATTCCACTAAAGTCAATATGGTTTCATATTTTTTATGTTGGTTGTGACAGTATCAGAAGAATATGAAACCATATTGACAATAAATAATCAGAAATCATGAGATTTAACAACTGACAAGTGTGTAAAAAGAAAATCATTTTTACATGACACAGTATTCAGAACATGTACCGCAAATTGTGCATTATCATTACCATCATTGTTACCTGCTTAATAATTTGTATAGCAGTCCTTGCGCTGTTGTTGAAATTTGTCATTCTTACACCAAATGGACTGAAAACAAATGCCACCGAAACATCAACAATAACAACAACTACGACTACTCCTATTCCTACCACTACTACTAGAATAACAGAAGCAAATAATACAGCCACTACATCACGTAAATTTCCGAAGAATGCTCACTACAATTACATGTTATGTTTTATTTAGGTAAATCACCAGGTTGCTTTGCATCTAACACTTCTGTACGTCTAGCTACTGGACACTTGAAACAAATAAGCAATCTTCATATAGGTGATTTGATCTTTGTCAAAAGAGAAAATCAAATCATAACAAGTCCAATCTTAGCTATTTTTCGGCATTACCGAAGTTTAATTCGATTTGTCGATATTTATACAACAGACTCGATTATTCCTCTTCGTTTGACACCACTACATTCACTATTGGTGCTTCCGAAACAGGATAAACATGAACGTTACTTATTTGCAAAAGATGTATCAATTGGTAGTCATGTTTTCTCATCAGATTTACGTTTATTGACAGTCGTCAATATAAAAGAAGTTTTAATTTCTGATGACAATGGCTATACTATATTAACATTTGAAGGTAATATTATTGTTAATGATATTGTAGCCTCGTGTTATGCAACTTACGATCATTCAATAATGCATATGATGACTATGCCTATGCGATGGTGGTTTCTTATTCTTTTTCAATTACGCCAATTGATCGAATTTGATTATTTGCAACAGTTGACAAACAAAATTATTGTTTCTTTTGTTGACTTCTACCTTCAAGCAATTTATTAAAATAATATTGAGACACAATAGAGACGCGAAAAAATTTATTCACAAGTATAAAGCAAGAAATTTCATTTTCGACAAGGTTTTTTTGTAAAAAAGAAGTTTTCTCTCTATTGATATTTACAATAAAAATTGTATACACTCGATACTTGATATTAAAAGGTTTCTTATCATGTATTAAGTTCAAACAAACAAAGGTTATCTTTTCAAAAACAAACAGATTAATAACGATAACATAATAAAAATGAAAAATAAGATTGACTATCACATGCATCTTTTCTCCTCCTTGAAATCATTGGCAATAATTTGTGTGGGTGTGGGTTAGAAAGATGTCAACACCTCTCACTCGCACACATCCACACTCACACCCTTATCAATTTATAAAATGACTTCATTTTTATATTGTCTATTTCATTGAGTATTGTTACAGAAACTATTCAAATCGTCCACATGTTCGATTTGAATTAAACTATTGAATATTATTTTATCGCACATTATTTATAGTATATTTTGATTTTTCATATTTCTTCTATCTTTAATAAACATATTTTTTTAGAACAGGAATAAAACCCATGAATAAATTTATTCAAATATCAATTTCATCTTTGATAAATAGTATTATTTCATAATCATCTTTACTGAGATTTATGTAAAATTATGTATTCTGTTTCTCAGCATCCATCGATATTTTTTACTGCAAAACAAATATACACTATCAAAACTAAGAAGATAATAACAGTCACAGAGCATCTTAAAAACTTAGTTAAATTAGTGAACAAGAAAACCAAACGAGCATGCACACCTTATAGACGAGCGCTACTTGTTTTAAAATTATCCAAAGAATATCGATGGGTATTTAATTCTGAAATGAATGTTATTTGTATGGATATTTAATTATGACTACAATTTGTTTGCTAAGCCGATTTTTGCTCAGTAAATAGTTCGAATGTTAAGCGAAAACATTGAACACTTAGTTAATTATTACTACTAAATCATTTCTAATAAAGACACAGTATAATTATCTAAGATAGGATGAAGTTTTCTTTGTTATGGTGGTATGACATATAAATTTTCTCTCTCTTGCTTTTCTACTGTTAGTATTAAAGTAGTACTGTGATATATGTATAATTCATCTATATTTTCTTTCATTGTGATGTTATCGGTGAACGTATACACGCTTTCTTCGAAAACGTTCTGGTACAATCCTTTTTTTTTCTTTCTCTCTCCCGCTGTTTCTTTTATATGCGATCTGTAATGTTTTCTCGAGAATTCTCTTGTACAAGAGTGTAAATGTGGGAACAAGAATGTTTTTGAAAAGAAGACTCATACTCACAACCACCCACATCCAAGATATTCGAATTTTAACGTATTTACAATGCCTATAAGATGCTTGCAATTCATAATTTCACTACAGTTTTCTTTTCTTTTTCCATGATGGTTAGATAAAATATAAGAGAAAATAGACCCCGAAATTCTAACTTGAAAAAAAATGTTTTGATTTAAAATAGTTTTTTTCTTATACAACTTGACGAGCTCTATGTAACTATCACCAAAACAGAACTCTACAAAAATTCTGAATTACAAAAACCGTACATATACTGTAAATACATTAAAATTCGAAAATTTCAATTCGTTCATGCCAAGGACAGCCTATATTTTGAATTTATTAGCTTGGTGACGAAAGCTCTACTTTGATCCAAATATCTCTAGTCTTATTAACTAACAACAGAAATAATTCTATTGTCGGACAACAATTTTCGTTCCATACTTGTATAGTTTGTATGATTATGAATGATGAAATAGATAGAAAGGATGTTAGTGTTTAGATATCGAGAGAATCTAGAGGCACAGTCACACCCACACTCTAATAAAAATATTTCATTACATTCTTTATTATATATGTGGCTTTAGAATTAAATCAGCAAGCGTTCATTCATGTATTTGAAACTGTTATTAAGTAGTAGAGAGAACACGCTTATCAACGTTGAAAATTGAACAAATTCATGTTATTCTGCGTATGAAATATGCAAATTAGCATATTATGTTTTTCAAGGTCATGTTATAATTATGTTTGCTTTTGTTTTGGGCTTGAATTTCTTCGGGTAATAATTTGAATAAATTTAACCAGAGTAATCAGTATTTCTAGTATAGAATTCGAAAAACTTTTCATGGATTTTACATGTTTTGACTTTCCTCTAGTGATAAACGCTTCTCATATATTTCAATCATTGAATTCATTTTCATAAAAACTTCACTAATACAAGTCGTTTATTAGGCATATCATTAACTTGTCATAGAAAGTACATGATTTTTCAGTTGATGCTTTTATTTAGATAAGTTGACACATAAACCAAATATTAAATTATATTACTAACTAGATCGAAAACAAAAAATATGAAAATTAAATTAAATTATTTATTGTTTGTATATCTAAATTTTTTTCATAATTACCACATTGTAAATTTGTTCAGCAATATATGAAATTATCGATTTTCAAATAATAATAACAACAAATGTATGATCGAAGATGTATTCTGACTGTTTTTTTATTGACTCAATAGAACGACTCATAGTAACCATGGTATACTGTGCTGCGTGTTGTGCAACTTCCTACGACACAGAGAACAGAACAGAAAAAAAACGACGAATAGCTTCTTTTTTTTTCTTCCTCACGCGCTTGTATTTACAGTCAATGTGTTGTTTTCAACAATCTTACGTGTTTTTGAAGGTTTATTTTCAAAGAGAAAACAAAGTAGTGAGCAGATGAATTGTGTGCTGCAAAAACATGATTGAATAGTTTTTATTATATGTATGTTCTCTTGCAAATTTTTCTTCACGTGCAAATCGTAGTACAATATTAATTCTTCTTCGCTTGCCGTATGCATGCAAATTTTTTTAAACAAGAATGGCGCACGACAACATTTCTTTTGATTACAGTTAAATTTTAAAATTCATTTTATATTAGATCGGCTATTTTCAAAAATATTGTGAGAGTAGATCTATGTAAATTTCTTTTCTTATCATGTATTTGTCTTTTAAATATAGATAAAGACATATTTCTTTCTGTTTCAGATGACTAATTTTACTTAAATACTTGTATCAAACTGTCTCACAACTATTCTTTATGATGGATCGTATGTCACTATTATCTTCAACTGGTTATAACAGTAAATACTATCGAACACCGACTTTTGACGCAAACCGACTACTACTACTTAGGTTAAATTATACTGATCAGGCGGGATCTATCGGAACCCACAATTTTGTTGAATTTCCCTCAAAGACTACTATCCACGAGATTAAAAAGGAACTACCGCGAATCTTTCCACTCAGGTCCATTGATCCTGAACAAGTCATACTAACTGAAGTTCGCTTTGCCGATGAACGCTACAAAGTATCCTCTTTGCATGAAAATATGCGATTGGACGAAGTAGAAATCACAAGCGGATCTGTACTCCATTTTAAGCGATCGACCACTTCGTCGCTCCCGAAATTATCACAACTGACAGTTTGCTCAATAGACAGTAGGAAAAGAGAACACTTTGATTGGGACGAGTCGTCAACAACAATTAAAGTTCTCCTTGATTTTGTCATAGAAGCTTTTAATTTACATTCTATCGAACGTGAGAGGATTCAGCTCCTCACATCTTCAGGCGAAGTTCTCAATAGATCAAGCAATTCAGGAAAGAAATTGACAGAATTAGGTCTTCGAAATTATTCGACTGTCTACCTCTACATCATCAAACCATCATCCACTTTCACGTATGATGAAGATATATATGTTTATATCAAAGATAACTTTGATGACGGCAATTTATTATTAGCGTCGCCAACAGACACCATTGCTCAGCTGGAAGATCGAATTAAAAGCAAATACAAACGTCTTTTGTATGTCATTTTTCGTGATACCAATCATAATAGAATAGATGTGAGTAGTCGCAATCGAAAACTGAGAGAATTTGGTATAAAGCCGGGTCAGACCATTTATGCGCATGTTGAAGAGAGTCTTTCAATGAAACAAACTGATGAATCGCAATCATCATGGTCGTCGACTATGAATCCGAATACAGTCTTGGTTCGTTGTGAATTTTCAGACACAAGATCTAAAACTATTCAAGCATTAGTAACAGATACAGTAGCAGAACTGACAGCAAAAATTACAGCTCTTCGAGAAAACCAGGCAATGGCTCAGTTTTCACTATGGTCAGATGATATTTATATTGATGATAGCCAACCTGATAAACGTTTAGCTGATTTTGGCATTAAGTCTGGCAGTACAATTACTGCTCATATCATAGATGTTATTCCCACGAATTACTCGACTAAAACCAGCAAAACCGACAAGACTTATACAACAACATATAATTATGACTTAGATACGAAGCCTAAAGGTTTGGATAATCTTGGTAATACATGTTTTATGAACAGTGCACTTCAATGTCTTGTACATGTCGTACCATTAACTGAGTTTTTTATGAAAAATCTTACTCAAGCGCATTCGGCTAATGATCATGTTAATAAAAACAATCCATTTGATACATATGGAGAAGTTACTGGAGCCTATGCCGAACTATTGTGGAATTTACAAAAACCTGAGAGAACATATTATTCATATTATGATTATTCATTTAGACCAACTCGTATGAAAGAAATAATTGGTCGACTTGAACCACGTTTTGCCACATTTGATCAACAAGATGCTCAAGAATTTATGACATTTCTTCTCAATACTATTCATCAGGAAATCAAACAAAAAAATAATCATGTTCGAAATACAATTATCACAGAACTCTTTTTCAGTCAAATTCAATCCTCTATTACTTGTTCTCAATGTCAACATGTAAGCACCTCAACAAATCCAATTAGTATTCTTCCATTAGCACTTAATCCACATGAACAAACATTTCAAGTGAATTTTGTCAAGTTGAGTGGTCGAGATGAATATGATATGATACCGATGCCTGCTGGTAATCGTATTGAACATCTGGTACAAGCATTTTTCGAGCGTCGCCATGATTCAAGACGATTTAATTATGTTACTGCGATGACTATAAATCCAGAAGCAGAAGTTGACTTTGACACACCACTCAGCAAACTATCTGAATCGGTAGTAACACTTATTGAGCAAGAAGATTACAATGGTCGAAAGGCAACTTTTCGGTATGAGAATAAGCCGAATGCTTTGAAGCTTGATGAATGTCTTCAAGCATTTGTTTCAATCGAAACGCTCGATGATCCGTGGTTCTGTGAACAAGATAAATGTAAACATGATACAAAAGCACGTAAACAATTGCAACTTTTAACTTTTCCTCGTGTACTCATTATTCAACTTAAACGCTTTTCACATGAAAATGGTCTACGTCAAAAATTGGACACATTTGTTGATTATCCTATTGATGGATTGGATTTGGGTAAACTTCTGAAATCATCCGAGGACGCCGTTTATGATCTTATTGCTGTTTGCAATCATATGGGATCTATTTCTGGTGGTCATTATACTGCATGTGCACGAAAAGATTCAAAAAATGCGAAATGGTACAAATTCAATGATTCCGATGTTTCAACTATTTATTATCCAGACGAAATCATTTCCAGAGATGCTTATCTTCTTTTTTATCTGAAACGACAGAAACAAGCAGAGTCATCAAAGCCAACAATGGTCTGATATTCGATATATATGTTCTCGTTATATGAAAAGAAAAACAAGACTTTCTCTTGTTCTTGAAAAGATTTCATATTTATACACGCTTTGTATTAGATCACTGTTTGAACAAACATAATAAAGTCCACACAAAGTTCTTTTCTTTCTCGATTAATCATCAGAATGAACAGAATATAAACTAACGCCGATAGGGTTGATTTAAAAAATTTTTTAATCATAATATTCACGAATTATGTTTTTGTTTTTGTTCAAATAAATAAAAGACGCTGTCTTATGAAAGTGTAACATTTCGAATCGATTTCATTTCTATGTTGTTAGAAAGAATCAAGTCTAGAAAGTTTCAGAATATGTCAAGAAATCAAGGAAAAAGTATTGAATATCCATGCTCTCAATGAGAGAAAAGAGCACAACTTTTTTTTTGCGGATTTATTGATAATATCAAATCTTCACAAGCGATCTGTGAATACGAAAATTTATTTTTTTGTAAGTTGTTGTCTTATAACAGACAACAAAATTGAAGAGTGAACTCTATTTCAATACAGTTTTTTATATTCTATCCATCAGTGGATAGCTGCGTGTGGGTTTGTTCTAGTGTTCTCTTCACACACACTCACATCCAAAATATCATTCAAATGACTTAAACATTCAGATCGAAAATATACACATACCTTTAAAAAACAAACTTCATTATCAAATTTATCGAGAAACAAACAAAAACCTCTTTCATTATTTGATCTTTTATTGTTTGAATTAATTGTTTACCGAATAATTGTATTTTTAAAATCAACTATTCGACCTTCACCATTCTAAAAATTTTTAAATATAGACTCTCTCCATTCGTGAAAACAATACGTACAGTAACACAAACATCATTTAAAATATGTAAAAAACAAATGTCCAAAATTTGTGGAAGAATTTTTTTCAGATTCATCAAATAATATAACACCATAAGGTTGATATCGAATTTAGCCTCCTCTGCTAGTAAAATTTCTGAAAAATAGGTTTTTACTGAACTCTTCAATAAAACCTCGTACTCCCTTCTCAGGTTACGTTGAAAGTTAACTCTTTACTTTTAGCTTGAAACTTTATCTTACCATAGAAGCAACAAAAAAGTCTGACACTTTCACAATAAACTAGTTTCGTTGAAAGCATTATTTATGGAAAGTTTCCAGTCACAATTAAAAATTCAACTTTCAACGTGATCTAAGTGGGAATATTGAGTTTTGTTAAAAAATTCAATAAAATTCGATATCATAAGAGTGAAGACCTGGAACATCTAATCATTCTAGATTTTTTCAATGCTCACCAGTACTCATCTAATGAACATAGTCCAAAGCCAGAAACGATTTAGTACCTGGAGATGCTTCTTCACGAGTTACCAAGATGTCTCTCTGAAGAGCGCAAAGTTGGAAACTATCTATGGGTTATGTTTAGAATCAAAAACAATCGTTGTAGTAGTTTAAAAGTTCATGTATTTGAGCTTGCATAGTCTATTGGAAACGGTTGGAAACCTAATTGATCTAAAAGATAAGTATTTATTATACACATTCCTCGGAACCAATCTATATGGTAAGTTATATCTGCGACGTCGTATCTCAATAAGGGTTTAAGTGCGCATCTTCGCGCATTCTTTAATACATTACGACCAAGTTTTTAACTCTATCAGAACAGAAGGAACTTTAGACAATCCACAAGGCCTTTACTATATAGTAAACATATGACGCTAAATAACTGCATAATGACTAATGAATTCGATTAGATCTTTAATTAGAAACATAAACTTTACTTCAAAGGTCCTATCGGTGATACTCACCTGTTTTACCTACTTTGTGGAAGCTGCTGCAAGACGGCTATTTGCTTCAATCAAAATTCAAAATGCAGTTAAATGCAAGACCGTAGTAGCTTACATGCTAGCTACGATATAGCTTCAGATCTCACAAATCGATTTTGTCGCCTGGCTGTCCACAATGCTCCACACCCACATCCTCTAGTGTTCTCTAAAATTTAAGACTTTGCTTGGTGAATTTGTTCGATACTGTTCAATTCATTTTATGAAATGCGCAATACTGTCACAATCATCAAGTTTCAATATTCAATACAATTGATCCTAGTGAAGGAGAGTTTGCATTGAGCCATTATAAGCACATATAAGGAAAATACAAAAAACTTTCTCATGTCGTTATTTTTTTCTTCTTTTGATATTAGTTTTGAGCGAAAAATCTTAGTGACATTGTATTGTTTTTCGCTGTTACTCAATGATCGTTGAAACATGTATTCATTTTGACAAAAGAATCATTGATAGAAAAAAATACTATAGCATACTTCAATCAAAGATAGATATGAATGATCAATTTAATTGAAACAAACTAAATTACCAAGATCCTTTGAACTTATTTCCCATTTTTCGATTATTTCTCCATTATCGATATTAAATGAGATAAAAATACTAGTATTTGAATTTTTAACACTCCATATTGTCATCCATGAATGTTCGTTTGAATTTATTGTATATGTTGTTGTCCATAGATATTTCTCAAATGGAATTACGGTTTTACCAATACGATTGAATTGTATTTCTTTTTCTGCTGTTATTATCAATTGAGTTAAAACCCAACCGTTTGTAATTGACGAAGAATACACTAGAGCAATTAAACGATCATTGATAGAATCATAGTCTAGTGCATATATTACATAATCATTTGGTATTTGTATATTAACATCCAGATTTCCTGTATCAACATTGACAGCATATAATGTTGACTCAATTACATTATAATATAATCGACGTTTAGATGCATATGCCATAACTAAACTATACGAACCATATGGATATGTTCCAATCGTTTTCATAAAACCATTTGTTTGATTAATTTTAGCTACTTCTAACGTTGATCCCGGATGGAAACTTTCTCTTATACCAATAATATCATTATCATTAATTGC